TAGGCACCTGCATTCACATGCACATACCCATACAGAGACATGTTTGTGTGTGTGTATAAATGGATTTCAAATGTATCTATCTTCCAATACTAGGAAGTTGTATGATTTTGCAGATCATATCTAAAAATGTACACTTCAATACTTCAAAAATCTGGAAGGCTAATAGTGTTCAGTTAGGACTGGCATATCAGATATGCCCTCTGGTGCAACAGTGGCACAAATGGTATGTAACCAACCATTTTTTGACTGGATTTAAGGTCTGCTTCACAGGATGGAGCCCTTACCTGGCACTGTTATTAGGCCTAGGAACCTGTGGCTAGACAGGTCACAGGCTATAGAAAAGAACCTACTAGTTAGTATTCTTCTGCCAAATGGGCATAGTATTAAACCAACTCCCCCTAATAACTTGCTATATCCATAGATTAATGCATCTCTCAACTTTCACCAGAGCAGCTTCTTCTTAACACATGGTGATCTACAAAGACACACAACTGGTCAACCCACAAATAATAAGAGACTACAGAGTGCTTACCTCTGAATAGGACTATATTAAACCCTTACGTCCCAAGGCTTGGGTATTATTGCAGAAGAGGTGATGGATGACTACAAGGAAACTGTTTTCCAAACAGCAGAGCGATTACTCATATGAATTCACAGCAACTGTGTCAGCACACACAAGACCTATGTAAGCTCAAGCCAACAAATTCCCATCATAGAGGGGGTATGTGTGTAAAAAGCCCCAGCACTAAGGAACTACTGGCAACTGATAGCTGCTGGGAAAGGGAGTCAGTTTTAATAGTGTGACACTGGGTAGGCTGACCAGAGATGGAACCCACCCACACTGAAGGGGATACAGATGGGGGTGTCTGAAAACAAAATACATTACATAAAATTCTCAAAAATTCAGTAAAATTGTTTTAAAGTATTCAGTTAGCTGGAAATGAATTTAAATTTTATTTAGTAAGTTCATGCTTAAGAAATTTAAAAATGAAGTACTAAGCCAGGCATGGTGGAATATACCTTTAATCCCAGCACTTGGGAGGCAGAGGCAGAGGCAGGCAGATCTCTGCGAGTTCAAGGTCAGCCTGGTCTACACAGTGAGTTCCAGGCCAGCTGGGGCTATAGAGAGACACTGTCTCAAAAAGACAAAAAAAAAAAAAGTACTAGGGTTTCTGTTATTTTCCTATTTATAAATATATACAGTATGTATTATATAGAAGACTGTCAACATCCCTATTATCAAAACTACATTAGACATTATGTAAAAAATATATATATCTTGGGGGGAACAGTACTGGAGATTAAGCCCAGGGCATCGTTAAGCTCTAGCTTCTACCCCCACATTTTTATATTAGAAAAAATACTAGCTGGGCATGGTGGCGCACACCTTTAATCCCAGCACTTGGGAGGCAGAGGCGGCAGATCTTTGTGAGTTCGAGGCCAGTCTGGTCTACATAGCGAGCCAAGACAGCTGGGACTACAAGGAGACCCTGTCTCAAAAAGACAAAAAAAAAAAACAACAAAAAACAACTTTTTGGATTTACTTTTATTTTGTGTATGAGTATTTTGCCTTCATGTATATAAGACCACCCATGCATGCAAACCCCACAGAGACCAGAAGAGGATGTCAGATCCTGTTACTGGAGTTACGGACAGTTGGTGGCTGCCATATGGGAGCTGGGAACTGAACCCAGGTCCTCTCCAAGAGCAGCCAGTGCTCTTAACAGCTGAGCCATCTCTCCTGCCCCAATTTTTTTATATTTTCAATACAGAACTGTTTATATTCAGGTTTACCAGTAATCTCAGCATTTGGGAAGTAGAGATAGGAGGTTCAAGGCCAGCCTGGGTAACACAAGACAAAAGAAAAACAACTATGACACTATAACAGTTGCACATGCAAGAATACATAAATTTAATTCTTCTTTTTTTCTTCTTTTTGAGACAGGGTCTCCCTGTAGCCCCAGCTTCCTGGAACTCACTATGTAGACCAGGCTGGCCTTGAACTCAGAGAGACCTACCCTGCCTCTGCCTTCTGAGTGCTGGGATTAAAAGCATGTGCCAAAGACGGGTGTGGTGGCGCACACCTTTAATCCCAGCACTTGGGAGGCAGAGGCAGGTGGATATCTGTGAGTTTGAGGCCAGCCTGGTCTAGATAGGGAGTTCCAGGTCAGTTGGGGCTACAGGGAGACCCTGTCTCAAAAAGACAAAAAAATAAAAAAATAAGCATGCACCACAACCCGACAAATTCTTTTTTTTCATGGGATTCTTGTTTAATAAATAAACTGATTGACTGAGTAAAGGCCTGTGCCAGCACACTGGGCTGCTCTCTGCTTCTTGACTGTGGATGCAGTGGAACAGCTTCCTCCTTAAACCCCAGCACCAAAGCTTCACCAGTGATGCTGGACTGTGACCTCAACTACCTCACTCTTATGTTGCTTTTGTCAAGGTATTTTATCACAGCAACAGAAAACGTAAATAACACACTAGTAAAAAAATTACAGCACAAGAACTCTAGCAGTCGGTGAACTGCATTTGAATAAACGATCTTCAAAGAATATTAATACCAGACTTTATTAAGTACATAACAAAAATTTATTTTCGCATTTATAACAAAAGCATACTTCAAACATGTTACTGGACAGTAAGGCAAAAAACTCAACATAACGATAATACAGCTTTGATCTTAATATATACTGCATGTTTTATGTAGTTTGTCTCAAAAGTTGAGAATTACAAGCATTTTTCTGTTGATAGCTTTCTGTGTAATTTTGCTAACAAATTAAAAACATATTAATTGGTATTTTGCTAATTCTCTAAAGTCATGTTAGTCTTACAAGTATCTCATTACCATTTTAAGAGGGAATAGCACTTTTTAAACTTTTTTTTTTTTTTTTGAGAGTATTGCCTGCATGTATATAAGTGCACTTGTGTCATGCAATGCTGGTGGCGGTCAGAAGAGGGAGTTGGATTCCTGGGATCCGGAGTTATGAATGGTTGTTAGCCACCATGTGGGTGCTGGGAACTGAACCTGGGTCCTCTGCAAGAGCAGTCAGTGCTCTTTAATTGCTGAGCCATCTCTCCAGCCTCAATTTTTAGACTTTTAAAACAAGTCATAAACATTCACTACATATAATTTAAGTAGAAAAATTTTTGGACCTTTTTGGTCCTTTTTTGAGACAAGGTGTTCCTGTAGCCCCAACTGGCCTGGACTCACTATGTAGACCAAGTTGGCCTTGATCTCACAGAGATCCTTCTGTCTCTGCCTCCTGAGTGCTGGGATTAAAGGCCTGCACCACCACCCCTGGCCTTTAAGTAAATGTAATTTTTTTTTTTTTTTTGGTCTTTTTGAGACAGGGTCTCCTTGTAGCCCCAGATGGCCTAAAACTCACTATGTAGACCAGGCTGGCCTTGAACTCACAGAGATCAACCTGCTTCTGCCTCCCAAGTGCTAGGACTAAAGGCATGTGTCACCACGCCTGGATTTTTGGTGTTGTTTTGTTTTTTTTGGTTACATTTGCTTTCTTAAGACCAATGGATAAAGCAACTGAATTAAGAACTTTGCACATAGAGGCTGAAACATTAAATGTGTCTACATAGCAAGTTCCAGGTCATCCAAGTGAGACCCTGTCTCAAAATACAAGCAAAGAAAAAACAACTTTGCATAGTGAGCTAGAGGTGTAGCCCAGTGAGTTGTGTTTGCCTGGATTTAAATTTTAAATAGGGACTGGAGACATGGCTCAGCAGTTAAGAGTACTGGCTGCTCTTACCAAGGACCCAGGTTCAATTCCCAGCACCACATGGCAGCTAACAGCTGTCCATAACTCCAGTTCCAGGGGTTCAGATTCTGAACTCCATGGGCACTGCACAACACGGGTGCACTTGCATACATGCAGGCAACACTCATAAACATAAAATAAAAATAATAAAATATTAAAAAAAAGAAAAAAAACGTTTTAATACCACAAAACTACTGACTTTAAACGAAGATGCTGAATGAACAAAGTTAACACATCGCTCAGCTTCTTCCAGAAAGTAAAGCTACTTTAGTTTTAATGCATAACCTTTGCTCCCTGGCATGGCCAGCTGGGGCTACAGAGAGACCCTGTCTCAAAAAAGACCAAAAAAAAAAGTATGAGCATAAACTTACATGATTTTTGCAAGTGTCCTCTTATAATGATTTTCTCAATGCAATTAGTCACATAGATAATGGTTTTTTGTTTGTTTTGGGTTTTTTAATTTATTATTTTATGTGAATGCATGTATTGCTGCATGTAGGTAAGTGTACCCGTGTTGTGCAATGCCCACAGAGGTCAGAAGAGGCTTTCAGATCCCCTGGGAGTGGAGTTATGGACAATTGTTAGCTGCCATGTGGGTGCTGGGATTTGAACCCTGGTCTTCTTCAAGAACAACCAGTGTTCTTAACTGCTGAGCCATCTCTCCAGCTCCCAACATAGATAATGTTTTTATCACAATGAAAAACAAAGAACAATGTGTATTATAACAAATGTAATAAGTTTTCTACAGTACTCAATTCATTTTTATAATACTCATAAATTATTAATGTAACTTCAGGCAAAATATTATTCATATTTATGCTTTTCTGATATTACTTTCTTCCTACACTTACATCAAAGTCTTTCCATAAATTCCTGGAAAGTCTCAAATATTAATGTTGTATGGGTAAAGCACAAAAGTGGTAATTCCGCAAAATTTATTTTCATCTATATAACCACTTATTATAAGGTAAATTTCTCCTAAATTTGTGTAAAATAACCTCCATTCATCCATGAAAAATAATCATTTTAACTATGGCTCAAACCCTTAAATCTCTTTAATGACTTATTAGTGTAAAGAAAACATACTTCATATTCATATTTAAAGTACCCAGTATCTGAAAACAAAGTACCACTTATTATACATTTCATTTATACTAAATTCAACTAAGATTTATACAAGTTTTCATCCTTTTTAAGTACATACATGATTTTTTTAAAACATTATCACTCAGGTCTATACAAGACAAATAATGACATCCATACCAGATGCTAACTTTAAAATAAGAAACTGTGCTGGGCATAGTAGCACACAGCCTTTAATCCCAGCAGTTGGGAGGCAGAGGCACGTGGATCTCTGTGAGTTAGAGGCCAATCTGGTCTACATAGCAAGTTGCAGGTCATTCAGGGCCACATAGTGAGACCTTGTCTCAAAAAATAAATTAAAAATAAATAAATAAATAAAACAAGAAACTTTCAGACAGCCAGTAATATACAACTCAAATAAAGCAGATATACTTCTTACAGAAACATTAGTCCTATAATACCGAGCGATATTTACAAGCAAACATGATCCAAACAGCACATGCAGATTCAGGGTAAGTAAATACTCGAACACGAACTGCCAGCCGCACCTGGTCTCCACGACAACAGATTATTTCTTCACAAAAAGGAGACCTATATAAAAACAAAATGTATTCAACTGAGGACCGACCATAGGCCTTACTTTATTTTCAAAAAAGCACTATTTAAGGAAGTCACTTTAGAAGTGTCTATAAAATTCTGTCGTCACTCCTAATAATTATTAGGCTAACCAATTAAGCATCTTAAGCCAAAAACACTATGAATTCATAAATTCCTTAATTATGAATCCATAAAATCCTTACCGAAGACATGTGGCAAATGCACGCCTTGCATTTCTATATACAAAATGTATTGGGAACCCTTTAAATGTGTGACCATGGGGTACAGCCCTCCTTATGGCATCCTGAAATTCTTCGTTGCCTGCAGATACACTTGTTGTTCGCTCAAATTCGTAAGACGCCAAAGCCGGTGATAAAAGGTAAGAAAGCTGGTCTTCCCAAACAGTAGTGAGGCCAAGATCCTATGGCAATCAATACAGAAAAAGTTGAAATACCTTAATATTTTAGAAACCAATTAAGTAAAAATGCTCTTTTTTGTTTTATTTTTTATTTTCATGTGTATATTTTGTACCACATGTATGCAATACCCATGGAGGCCAGAAGAGGGCATCAGATCCCCTGGAACTAGAATTACAATGGTTAAATGCCATGTGGGTGTTGAGAACCAAATCTGGGTCTTCTGCAAGAGCGGCCAGTGCTCTTAACTGCTGAGCCATCTCTCTAGGCCCTTCTTTTGTTTTTGGCTTTTTGAAACAGGATCTTTGTTTTAAACTGTATTATCTCGAGAATTTTTTCCCTTTTATTCCCACAGTTCTTTGTATAGCCCTCCTTCCCCCTCCTCTTTACCCCTTTTTACATATTTCTCCCTTAATAACACTAGCTGGCCTGGAATTTGCTACATTGTCCAAGCTGGCCACATCTGCTTCTCTACCTCCTGAGTGCTGGGATTAAAGATGTGCAACCATCACTCCTGGATTCCTTTTGTTTTTGAGATAGCATTTCATATACCTCAGGCTGGCCTCAACTCAATGTATAGCTGAGTATGGCCCTGAGTCCTTGATCTTCCTGTCTCCATTTCAATGCTGGGATTACAAGTATGTACGACCACATCCAACTCAAGATTTGTCTGCGTATGTGTACATCTGTGTGTCTCTGTGTGTGTGTATGGCAGAATCTAG